TTCGTGCTGCGATTTTGGCGAATGTTTCGTGGAATGTGGCTAGTGCTGTGTGTGTCCCTCTGTGTTTCCTAAACCCGTGTTGCCTAGTGTTGTGTATATTGTGGAAGGTGAGGTGTTCATATAGTGTGATGTTTAGTATTTTGTCCAAAAGCTTCCCGTGTATGTCAAGTAATGAAATTGGTCTATAGTTTTGAACTTTGTGTTGTGATGTGTTGGGTTTGGGGAGGAAGATCATAATGGCGTGTTTCAGTGAGTCGGGGAAGTATCCAGCGGAGATGGAGTGGTTGAATATGTATAGAAGGTAGTGAATCATGTTTTTGGGTAGATGTTTGAGTTGGAGGGTTGTGATGCCAGTGGGGCCGGGTGCTTTCTGTTTAAATGTTTTTAGTAAACGTTGTTGTTCTCTGATGGTTATGGGTGGGAAGTCTACTGGGTGGAGTCTTGAAAGGTCGTCGGCATTGTATGGATATATGAGGTGTATGTTGTTGTTGATTTGGTCTTGTATGGAGTGAATGTGTTCTATGTCGAAGTCTTCGTTGTCTGTGTCGTTCTGTGTGAATATGTCCTGCAAATGTTTGCGGAAGATGGTTTTTTTTTGTTCGGGTGTGTCATGTATGTGTAGCGGATCTCGCTACATAGCACTAATGTTATGCATAACATATCACTAATTCTTATATTTTTCATACTAACATAATATAACTAATTTTTATGTTTCTTATACTAACATTAATATTAACACTCACAATACACATTAAAGTCGTACATTTTAAATCATATTAAATAATTATAACATCATCACGAGAGTTTCGGAGAAAACAGCTTTATCGATGGCAACATCTCGAGCCCCTCTTGCTCACTGCTTCTTTGATAGCCTCTCGTTCTATTCGCCTCCTGACTTCGATTCGTCAACATCTCCCATGTAAGCTCCGTAACTTAGAAATTATTCTGCTGTAGAATAGCTCTCATTCAATGTGTTAAGTATAAGAGTAAAGTTAGTTCAGAAGTCAGAGTCATTGCAAGGTTATATGAATTAAATTAATGTATTAAAATTAGCGTGTTTTCATAAATAGCTCACGTGGCTTTAGCTCATTTTTGAGATGGTGTCGTAAAATGTGAATAGCGTATTAACAAAGGCCTTATTTTTCGCAGCACTACATCATCTGTTTCCTGCAACGCATAAAATCAAGATCAAGCGAAATCTCCCGCCAGTAAATCCAATTATTCCGGCCAGCACATAGGCCAGCCTCGAGTCTTCGACATCGGCGTCAGTTGCTTGTCTTCCCGCCAACTCGGGCGCCGCCATCTTGGATCCTGCCGACGCGCACGCCGCCATCTTGGATCCTGCCGACGCTCATCCATGGATATTCAGTGAACAGTGCTAATGTGATACTCAGNTTCCTACACCACCCTTGCCCCATCACTCTTCCTACACCACCCCTTGCCCCATCACTCTTCCTACACCACCCTTGCCCCATCACTCTTCCTACACCACCCTTGCCCCATCACTCTTCCTACACCACCCTTGCCCCATCACTCTTCCTACACCACCCCTTGCCTCACACCCACTTATTAATAAGCATATACGGACGTAATGCTCATCTTGTTTGTTGCACAGCTAAGAATTCATGTATTGTTTGCGTCGCTATTTTAGACATTACAACGCTAGACGTTACTGACGTTGTGTCAGCGTAAGACATTCAGCAAAAATCAACGATACGACGAATATGCTTCTTCCGTGCGCGTTGACGACAAGACTACGTCTGGGACCTAAACCTGTGGTGGAGATTGATTTTCAGCTTTGCCTCGGGATAAAATATGTGATTTATCATGCGGTTAAGGTTCGGACTGACGGCCTGAAGTCAGGTATTCGAAAAAATATAGTGAAATTCGTGCCTCGAGGTTATGAAATGCCTTACGAGTATAAATGCCATTTAATTACAGAGAATGAGAACCGTCGGTTGTTAGTTCTTCACAAAGCCAGAACCACTCCAGCACTGACGATAGTCGACACTTTTTTGTTAATAGTAACGTTATGGCATAAACTGTGGAACGGAATATGCACACTGCAATTGAGATTTCACGACACAGTGATCGTCTGGAGCTTATATAACCTGACTGCCAGTATATTCCTTTCTTCCATTACCGTACATTCCTTCATTCCATTACCGTACATTCCTTCATTCCATTACCGTATATTCCTTTCTTTCCTTTACCATACATTCCTTTATTCCGTTACCGTACATTCGTCTCCTTCATTACCGTACATTACTTTCTTCTATTGCATCATACTCTTAATTTTTTATATCGATACATTCCTCCACAACTCCGGCGTCAGATACTGAATATATACGAGTGTCTCCTCAACACTGAGGTAAAAAATTTCTGATAAAATATGTCGCTCGCGTATTCGCACCGCAGACTATAGCAAATGAAAGCTCCAAATGGCTCGGGGTAAAGTGTTGATAAATGAAAATTTTGAACTGTTGAAAAATTCAGTTGAGAGTTTGGATGTTATTATCTTGATATTAGCAGCTATTATTGACTTGATATTAGCAGCTATTATTGACTTGATATTAGCAGCTATTATTGACTTGATATTAGCAGCTATTATTGACTTGATATTAGCCGCTATTATTTGTTGAAAATTGTGAAGCGACCGTACTCAAATCACTTAGTTTAATAATCCGACTTTCCTAAAATGTAGACCGAATTCTACGTTGTAACTTAATCTTGTATGCCAATTATTCCACTGAAGACTTTTGCTGAAGACTTATCTTGTTACAATTCCTTCCTAAACCATGTAGTCTCAGTCTCGCCAGCTAGCTTCAGAACCTGCACTACTTTAGGTTATGGACGCAGGGTCGCTGGTGTGTGCACTGTGATTTTGTGTGTGTGTGTGCGGTGCTACTAGGAAAGAGTGGAAAAGAACAAGAGGTGGCGCAGAGTGGCCAGAAAGAGGAAGTAGAAATTGAAAAGACAGTAGGAGATGAAAAGCGCATTGTGCATAATTGGGTTGGTTGTAGGTGGTTGGGGGTGTTTGGGGTTGGGGAAGGGGGGTTGGGAACCTATCGGGGCTTTGAATGCTTCAAGTAGGTAGGTGATGAGGGGTTGGTGGTTTTCTATTTACATATATACATGCATTTTCGCTTTTTTGTATTTTTAATGTTCTCCATATATGGCTACATGTTCTCCATATATGGCTACATGTTCTCCATGTATGGCTACATGTTCTCAATACTTGCTACATGTTCTCCATATTTGGCCACATGTTCTCCATACTTAATACGTGTTCTCCATATATGGCTACATGTTCTTCATATATGGCTACATGTTCCTCATGTATGGCTACATGTTCTCCATACTTAATACGTGTTCTCTATATATGGCTACATATTCTCCATTTAAGGCTGCATGTTGTAAATGCTGTTGGTCATTTGTGAGCATCACAAATGTGTCAGTCAGTCATCTTACGTCGCCCTCATCGGTCGGCCAGGGCCTGCTTAGTTAGGATGCAAGTGTCGTGTTCCATATCTTGTGGCCACCAAACATTTGTATATAGACTGCCATCGTGAAGAAAACAGGTTTATAGAGAGATATTGGCTGTTGTTGACTGTTTTATAATGAGGTATGGAATGTAAAGCTACAATATAGTACAATTTTATTGAACTCTAAAGTCCACGTTTTGTTCATTGCCGCGGTTGAGCCCTTGCATAGCGGTGAGAGCCCCGTAGCTCGCCAGGTCTCAAGTTGTATCAAAATAAAAGGTTATTAAAATATGCGTATAAAAGTACTATTTAAAGATAAAACTGCTCATGAGGCTGGTGTCTGAGATGTTACAAATGTTCAGTGAATTTCTTACTTTAGTTTTAAATATATGAAAAAAAAACATTAATTTGCTGAATTATCAATTTTTTCTTTCAATTGATTCATGCATTGTCTCCGGCTTAATGCAAGCGTGCAAAATTTCAAATCAATTTGACGGGTAGAATTGTGTTAAATATCGACTATAAGATTTGTAGCAGACAAACCAACAACAAGAAGGAAGTTGAAGAGAAGTGTTGGAAAAAATTACATTAAATCTTCTCATAGTTCCCTGGGTTTGCTCGAGTACCTGGACGTTTGATTTGCTTGTGCGTTTGGTTGTATGTTTGCTTGCGTGTCTGTTTGAGTGCACAAGCTCTCGCGGCATCAACTGCGTTGGCTGCAGCAGCAACAAATGCAGCAGCTGCAGCTGCTCAACCACAACATCACAGCTGCAGCGGCCACAGTCGAACTGCAGCTGTGCACTCACAACACATAATATAACACAGCTTCTTATAGGAGCAGGAAGTAAACTAACAGACGCCACTTGGACTCTATAGCTCATATATGCTTAGTAAATATGCGTTGAAAACAACGTAAATAAAGCGGACGCACCAGCATCAGAACACAACACACAAGCACTCCTGCATCACTCGCCTCACTGACTTGCTGCTCGCGCACCACCTTTTGCCTCCCCACCCCTTGCCTCACCACCCCTTGCCTCAACACCCCTTGCCTCAACACCCCTTGCCTCACCACCCCCTGCCTCACCACCCCTTGCCTCAACACCCCTTGCCTCACCACCCCCTGCCTCACCACCCCTTGCCTCAACACCCCTTGCCTCACCACCCCTTGCCTCACCACCCCTTGCCTCACCACCCCTTGCCTCACCACCCCTATTTTTAGTGCATTTACTTTACTAATTGATTTATTTGTGTTTCTAGGACTGAACTTTTTCTGAACAGAATTTTGTGGTTTGAACTGACGATGGAGCTGGACTCCGAAACGTTTTCTCTTATAAAGATATGGTGAATTTTTGTGGTATTTTCTTTGCTTTTAAATTCCTGGTTAACGCCGAGTAATATCATTGTATCTTCGATTAAGATAAATTTACTTGGCGTTTTCTTTGCTTATTTAATATGGGTGATTGTCGTAAACAACATTCAATACGAGTAAATTTGTTTCAATATTCGACAAACTCAGGACAAGTGAATGTCACCCGTCAATTTCAATTCAATCGATTGATGCTCACTTTTCTCGACCCTCCAGACCTCGTTCACCACAAGGACGGCGAGTTCGGCCACCTTCCCTGCGTGGTCGGGACGGCAGCGCAAGACGCAGTCCCTCACATAGGCGGCGGTGACGCGAGCGTGGCGCAACGCCTCCTTCAGCTCCCCCCAGCGTTGAAGGAAGCTGCAGGGGCTGCGGGTGCTGAGGGCCGGCACAACGTTCAGCAGCACCTCCCGCAGCCTACAAGAGGAGTTTGAGGTAACGTTTGATCCGGTACATTATGTCGACATATCTACAGAAGTGAGACGCTTGATTGGCCGAGCTTTTTCGTTTTTCCGTAGTGTCACGTTATAATTTGTTTTCAGCTTGCCTTTTATCATACTTGCTAACATGTTTGTAATGTCTTTATTCATATAATATTTGTCTGCTCTCTTCTCCAGGGTTTCGCCATAATATACGGCTGTTTCCTTCTTGAACGTTTCACAACAACATACGGCTGTTCCCAAATTAAAATTAATGGGGGCGATAGGTGGCGATAGTACATTATAGGTAACGTAACGGTGGGTGAAGTGATCTGCCAAAATTAGACAATAAAACACCAATAAATCGAGAGGGTGGCGAGTATAGGTGGCAGTCGTAGTTGAATCATCGATGATTTACAGGAAATGAATCATAGCTGGTGCATTGCAAGCCACCGACAATCGTTAATTGCAGGTTATTCGAGATCAAGACCAAACCATGACTTCGTTCTGTGTGCTTGTCTTTCAAGATTAAGTTGTGTTAAGAAAATTAAGCAAAAATTTAACGTGAATTTCGTAGGTACGAGTAAAAATGACAGAAGTAATGTGTTCACAAATTTTACAAGCCAAAATGAGGACACATGGGCATGTATGAGACTGCTCCTGATATAATTTTTCCGAGGAACAATGGAAAATTTTGTCGCAAAAAACACGGTTCTTTCAAAAGATGACGGTGAATCCAGTTTTTCAAGTTCACCTGTGACAATGCGTAAATTTGTTGCGATGCGTGTGCGTTTGCGTATGCGCCAAACTTACCGTGTTATCAATATTGCGATCAATCGAGACTAATTATTGCGCATCATTAAGCATAAATTGTAAGGATCGTCTAAGTATATTCCATAATATTTACAATATTCTCATGTTACCCAATTTATCTAAATTTTGAAGCCATGCCTTTGACGTAGTCGACAGGAGCTCGGGATCTCTATAATGCACTGCGAGCAAGTCGAGTAAAGCACACTTTCATACCTGTTGGGTTGACGGGCGTCGGCGTTGAGCTTCGTACTGTTCTTTACCATGTCCCGCTTGAAATATGTGCTTTCCAGTAATAAGCTTGTCATATGTATATGTATCCTTTTTACACAGTGGGATACAAGTAAAAATTCGGTTTTCCATCTTTGACTTCAATAGTGAAATATGATTATTTTCGGGAAATTTGCTTATGCAGTCATATAATTATTTTAATTATGAGTCTAAATTTTATATATTGACTTATAATTAAATAAATTTAGTCTTTTTTATATTCATCGAGTGATGTCAATTCCTTATTTGACACAAGAAAAGTCTTGGAGAAAATATTTCGCATCATACCGCTGTCAAAATTGTTGTAATGTTCATAATATGGAACTTCGATACTTATTAAGCATTTTCTCGTAGCCTTTTACTCTGAGCTGAACCTTCGTTCGTTATGGATAAACGAAGTTTCTTTCAACGTGTGTTTGCTCGAATATAGTAGCATGTGTACAAATAAAATTGTTGATGGAACCATCTAATCACCACGGTGGTAGCACTAACCTCTGTTATTTGATGAAATTAGTACCTGCAGTACTTCAATTAAATCTTTAAAAAAATCACTCTACTGCCAAGACCTATCCGATGGTTTAACGGTAGAGGCTAGGCTCCGCATGTGGAAGACTGGAGTTCGAATCCTGAAGGCAGGGACTTCTTCAAGTAAATATCTCACGAGGCGATACTCTGATAATTTGTTCCTGCTACATGTCAGACATTGTTACTTGTACTGCCATTGTGAATTTCCATAAGTACCCCTTAGAATGGTGATTGGAAGCAATATCAGTAAATAGAAAAGCACCGGATTGGAAACTAAAGAAAAAAAATATATATATATTTTTTCAATTTAAAAGTTGCCATCAATGACTCATTGAAGCGCCACCGGTGCCAATGGGTAGTTATTGGCGAAAAAAGAGCTTTACGAGTAGGGTGGTCATCGGCAGGTTATATGGTGTGGGATAGGTGGTGCACGACACCGATGCGTAAAGTCACAGTACTATAATACAGAGGTGGGCAGTAGCGCGCTACATTTTCAGCAGCGGTAGCGGTAGCGGCGCTACATTTAAGCAATTGTAGCGGTAGCGGTAGCGCCCGCGACATATTTAAGTAGCGATACGAGGTTTTGCCACTACAGCGCTACCGCTACATTTATAGATAAAGCCTTTAGATTTTACTTAATAGTATTATATATAATTTAAAAACCAGCATGATGCATACCTAATATAAATTACAGAATAAAACTGTACGAAAGATTTCGGTGTAATGTTGTCAACCTCAGCCTGTTACTAGTGTCAACATGTTAGTTGTTACGTGTTAAGTTGTTACCAGTTACCACTTACAGGTATTTTTTCATGTTTCAGTTTGCTTGCAGGTATTTTTACACAGTTATTTTTATGTTTCACCTTCCCTACATGGATGTCTACTTTAATCTACCAATCTCTAAAATAATCCACATTATATATACAAATAAAAGACTGATTTTTTATATGTATATGTGGATAATTTTTGAGATTGGTAGATTAAAGTAGACATCCATGTAGGGAAGGTAAAACATTAAAATAACCGTAACTCTTATTTACTGTATCTAACCCGTACTAGTTCGGTTAGGTTAATTGCAATAAAGTTACATTGATATGTTTTGAAAATGTTTTATTATCATCAAATATTTATGAGTTAATCCCAATAGCAGAACAATAAATATTTAGAGATTTCTAATAATTTTGGCCATTGTAGCGGCTAATGTAGCGGCGCTACATTTTACTGTAGCGGTAGCTGTAGCGTCGCTACATTTCAAAGTAGCGCTGCCCAGCTCTGACTATAAATCATAGTTGCTCCACCTATGGCGTCCGCCGATAGCATCATAAAAACATAAGTGCTCCACTCTTAAATTTTATTCGGGTTTCCTGCATAAACATTTGCAAAAATATACGGTTGTTTCCTACTTGATTATCTTGCCACAAAATACGGCTGATTGATAATAAGTTTACTAAACAAATTACGATGAATCAATGCACGTCTTACAATGGAGTTAGTAACGGCGCTTTACTTGCGTGCTTCGACGAGAAAGTGGTTCTTTGGTTGCAGCAGCGTTTGTCGCATTTCAACCGTGCCATTTCTTAAATGCGCATGCTCATCTTAAGTCGCTTCCTCTGCGTAAATTTGTTTCAAAGAACTATGAAAGAATGTGTTAAATGTTTTCTTTAACATACCAACATCCTACCGATACCTACCACATGCCATGGAGGTAAGAAGATAAAATCTGCAGCTACAGTCTATCAGAAAAAAATTCAGAAATTAGCTACGATTCTGTTATTCTAGTAAGATAAAAGGTGTCTCTATGGCATGTGGCATTCAGTTGCAGTTGTTACTCTATTCCAATAGTCTAAAATTATTGTACAACGGCATTAATTTTTGAATGCAACAAAGCTTTCGGAAATAGTACTACTTAAATTGTAAACGTTTAATCTTTTAAACTGAATTATTTTCAAGCGTAATGCTTCACTATTTACAATAAGATTGCACAATTTAACTGAAAAGCGTGCATTGATCGACGCCTAATAAGTCGAAGAACTCTAGGCAACTGCCCAGAGCAACGTCTCCGAACTGCCTCTCATTATCCAGCATAACCTCATGGCGGGGTAGTTCATCAAAACATTTTTCAGATTGCAGGTTCACATGGTTGTTCAAAATTGGTATCAACTTACGTCCAGGCAATTGTAATATGTAATCGTTCATTATTACGCCAAATCAGACACATAAAATTGCTGTCTCACCTGAAGTTTGTTGGCGGAACTTCCAAAATATTTGCAAGAGTAGAATCAGGGTCGATTATTCGCCCTACAACGTAGGATATGGCCATTATAGCTTGTGGTGACCAATGCGGGAATGAGTAGGTAGTTCTGTTACTCCCACACTCCGATCTCTTCGCTCTGAGCACAACGTTGAGGAACACTGTGGTGTCTACACCGACGCTGGCACCATGAGCCTTCATTCTGTCGCGACACTGACGCTTCAAGCACAGGAGTTCATCGTCTGTAAAGGTAAGCTGGTTGCAGCAGAGCAACTTCAACGCCCATTGACCAACGACCATGAAGAGATCGTCAATAAGAACATCTTTGTCTGGGACATGGATATCGCTAAGTGTTCTTTCTACAGTGTTCTTTGACAGTTTCGATATGTAGCTCGAAACGTCTTCAAAACTTTTCCATCGGTCATGGGTTTGAAAATCAGTTATCATCTCTTCAGTAGTTGCGCTGCCTGGGGCTTCTGAAGCGGCCGCCATCTTGCAGTAGTCACCTGCACATGAAATGCATGCTGAGGTTAAGCTGGGGTTAAGTTGAGGTTAAGTTGAGGTTCAGTTGAGGTTAAGTTGAGGTTAAGTTGAGGTCAAGTTGAGGTTAAGTTGAGGTTCAGTTGAGGTTAAGTTGAGGTTAATGCAGTGCACATGGTAGCACGTGTGTTGGTGTGTGGCGTGATGCAGTGCACATGGCAGCACGTTTGTTGGTGTGTGACGTGATGCAGTGCACATGGCAGTACGTGTGTTGGTGTGTGTTGTGTTGTTCAAGGGTTCGCTCCAACGCCCCAGCAAGACTCACAGAGGATCCAGAATTTTCCCCCGAGGGCGCTGAGGTCCAGGGGCGCCGCCATGTGGATGTGGAGCCAAGATTCATGACACACGGACGCGAGGGCGGCCACGCCAGCGGGGGTGCCCACACACCCGATGAAGTCCTCCAATACCACCCTGTCCCCCGGGAGGGTGAGGGGAGGTGGGATAAGGTGGATCACTATAGACGAAGAGCTCTATGAATTGCTATATATACACTACTTGTGTACTGGCTTTAGCAATGAACGAGATTTTCCTTATGGAATGCGCAGCCTTATTAATAGTATACAGCCATATGATAATATACAACCTTATGAATAACATACAGCTTTAAGAATCATGCACAGCCGTAAGAATAATATATACAGCCTTATGACTAACATACAACCTTATGAATAACATACAGATGTAAGAATAACATACAGCCTTAGGAATATTATACAGCCTTAAGTGTCATATAAAGTGTTATAATAATATACAGCCGTAAGTCCAACATACAGCTGTAAGAATAAAAAACAGCCTTATGAATTATATACCACCTTATGAATAAAAACAGCCTTAAGAATAAAATACAGCCGCAGGAATAATATACAGCCTTAAGAATAAAATACAGCCGCAGGAATAATATACAGCCTTAAAAATAATATACAGCCGCAGGAATAATATACAGCCTTAAGAATAAAATACAGCCGCAGGAATAATATACAGCCTTAAAAATAATATACAGCCGCAGGAATAATATACAGCCTTAAGAATAAAATACAGCCGCAGGAATAATATACAGCCTTAAAAANGTAGTAATAATATACAGCCTTCTGAATAATATACAGCCGTAGTAATAATATACAGCCTTCTGAATAATATACAGCTGTAGTAATAATATACAGCCGCATGACGGTACGTCGTCCAGGTTTCACAAGATTGAACATTGGGCAAGGATTTCCACGCCAGTCATCATAGCTCATTTTTACGACTAATAATGACTGACGATGAAAGCTTTGAATTAAACTTTACTGTTTATGGATTACGATTAGTTATGAACATTTGTGACTGATCAGGATTAAGTATGACTGATTATGAATATTTGTGACTGATTATGATTAACTATTACTAATTAAAACTATTTGTGACTGATCATGACTAACTATGACTAATTAGGACTATTTGTGATTGTCTATGGCTAATTGTGACTGATTATGACTGACTGTGACTAATTAAGACAATTTCTGACTGATTATGACTAACTATGACTAATTAAAACTATTTTTGAATGATTACGACTATTTATAACTGATCAGGACTCTATATGACGAATTAAAGTAAATATGAATGATTATTACTAATTATAACATCATATGAGGTCTCTCTTCGTTCTAATGAGGCTAAGCAAACGTATAACTTCTCAATTGATTTTTTATTGCATAGAATATCAGATTGCTCACTCATTATAATTAATGGGTCTGTCTAAATGGTGACATGATTTCTTAACCACAGCAAAAGCAGGGAGAGGCTTTAGAACTGTCATCCTCTTTTGCTACGACAAACTGGGGCAAAAGTGCATCGAAATATGACCAGCTCGTATCACGCAGTTGACAGCTTGAAAACACACGTAAAAACAAGCATCGCTTGTCATGCCATGACAGGCCACTTGCCATGAAATGCCAGGCCTCCTGTCATGCCATGTCAGGCCTCTTGTCATGACCACCAGGCCTCTTGTCATGCCATGTCAGGTCTCTTGTCATGCCATGTCAGGCCTCTTGTCATGCCATTTCAGGTCGCAATTAAGTGACCACAGGCGCCAGGTTGTTGAATGCTATCACAAGTTGTAGGTCAACACAATTGAGTAAGTGAGATGAAAGAACAAATTTCTAATGTTAATGAATGAATAAAGTTAAATGCTGATACGATGGAAAGAGAAATGTTTTTCAGATGCTACATTGTTTTGTGTGATATCATCGAGTCTATCCCAGAACCATACATTACCTCGAGTGTTGAAAACGAGAACTCGATGGCATTTATTTGCATCAGCTGTGTTCTTAACTACACCTGCAGCGTTCTTACCCGCTGTTTCGCAGCGGACGCAGCAGGTCATCATGGGGATGGAAGGCGTCACTAGTGTTGGTCAGTTTGAGGGTAATATTGAGTTCCACACGTTTAGCTTCCTCGACGAGTCCCACCCACGGCGCCTCCCTCAGGGTGACGGCGTCCAAGGACACCACCAGAAGCTCTGGATTTGCGTGACGCAGCATTTCAACAATTGCTGCAACATGGCGACCTGCGGATAATGTTGTCCTCTGGAGAAGACGAAGTTGAGGAGCTTCGGCTGACTAACATAGCTGTCGCTGCATCCGCGCATTACTCGCCAAATTTAACACAGGCTCATTTCATTAGTCTTTTAGTAATTACATTCCGAGTTATCTAAATCTTTTGGGTTATTAAATCCCCAGTTCACGAAGAATTTAACTGCAACTAAAACGCCGAGTAAGTATTAAAATCACTTGTTTGCTTGAATCGCAAGTTAACCAGGAATTTAAAAGCAAAGAAAATACCACAAAAATTCACCATATCTTTATAAGAGAAAACGTTTCGGAGTCCAGCTCCATCGTCAGTTCAAGTCAGCTCATTGCATAGCGAGTCACTCAGCGAGCGCACCATCTCACTCAAGGAATTTACTACATCATTCAACAATTTCGACTCATTGCCGTGCTCTTCCACCAACTCCTCTCTTTTTCGAGCACCAAGAGTTGGTTTTTCGCAATCACGGCAAAACCAATGAAGCAATTTAGATTTCTGGAAAAATAAGTACTCCTTAGAGCTCAACTTTGAACAGCTGATACAAATGAGATATACGTTTCAATATACCTTCACCTCCATCCAATATTAAAATAATTACATATGAAGATGACATAACAATCTCATCCTCCCACAAAGACTGTAAGACTGCTGCACAAGTCCTTCTTACATACCTACAAACCATACACACATGGACCACAGAAAACCAACTACAACTCTATGCAACAAAAAGCACTGTCACTCTTTTCACACCTGACCAGACCGAATATAGCACACAACTCAACCTCAATATCAATAATACACTCATTCCAACAGCACGCAGCCCTAAAATACTTGGACTTACCTTTGACCCAAAGCTCGCCTTCAGCACACACATTAGTAATACTCACAACAAAGCCAATAATACAATCAAAATAATCAAATCATTTACAATCACACGATTGGGAAAACGAAAAGAACTACTCACAACCACAATTCAAACAATCACGCGTCCAATCCTTGAATACGCAAACTCATCCTGATCATCAATTATATCACACACGCACATGAACAAACTCCAAACAGTCCAGAACGCAGCACTCAGGATAGCCACAGGCTGTACCGCAGACATCAACATCCACCACCTTCACCAAGAAACCAAACTCCTACCCCTAACACAACACCTCAAACTTCACGCCTCACAACTCAGACAGAAAGCACAAAACCCAACCCACCCACTACATGCCCTCACCTTTTAGCCGCACCCACACCGTCTCATGAAACAAACTATTTTCCACAACTCAGGTTTCACCACCAACATAGATACCCCGCCTGCACAAGCTACACAGGTCACAATCGAACAAAATCTCAAAACTATCCACACTACAATCACATAAACCTATCTTGCAACCCTCCCTCACAATAAAATTTTAAACATCCCCGTACCGCAGATCCACCCATCTGAAATCAACCTACCTAGACCGGCACGCAGGAACCTTTCACATCTTCAGACAAGCAAATCACCGCTACTTCTCTCATACCTAAATAAAATAGACCCTGCCACACACCCTTCTCCACTTTGCCCACTCTGTCTGTCCAACACGCACGACACCATTCATCTTTTCTTCTGCCCTGAAATGCCCACATCCCTGTCGGTAGATGACCTTTGGGCAGATCCCGTAAACGCCGCGGGGCTGATGGCCCGCTGGGGCGGCCGACTTGGCTGGCCCCAGAACTGGGTCTAGGCCCCGCCTCGCGCCGTGAAGCGAGGCGGGGGTGTCAACAACAACAACATCAAGAATGTGACAACAGAGATGGTTATGAATGAGATAACTGAGATGATCTTGAATGATTTTCTGTGTGCTAATCCTCTCTTTTTTTATTGTTCCCAGTATATGCATACTAGACTGGTTCAGATCAGTCAAATAGCAAAGACAATAAAGTCATTTATGTGCCAAGTCACATCCATGTTTTGCTCCTCTGACCAACTGCATTTCTGCTGACTAGCCTGCTGCATTAAATGAACCTGCTGTCTGATAATGCTGACCTCACTGCTGACATATTCCTGACCTGTTGCTTTCCTCGTGGCTGACTTGTTGCTGACCTGTTACTCACCTCCTGGCTGACCTGTTACTGACCTCATGGCTGACCTGTTACTAACCTCATGGCTGACCTGTTGCTGACCTCATGGCTGACATGTTGCTGACCTCATGGCTGACATGTTCCTGACCTGTTGCTTTCCTCGTGGCTGACTTGTTGCTGGCCTGTTACTAACCTCCTGGCTGACCTGCTGACCTGTTGCTGACCTCATGGCTGACCTGTTGCTGACCTTGTCTCTTATACACATCTAGATGTGTATAAGAGACAGAGATAACAGAGATGATCTTGAATGAGATGACAGAGATGATCATGAATGAGATAACAGAGATGATCATGAATGAGATAACAGAGATGATCTTGAATGAGATAACAGACATGATCATGAATGAGGTAACAGAGTTGATCTTGAATGAGATAACAGAGATGATCTTGAATTTGATAACAAAGATGATCTTGATTGAGATGACAGAGATTATCATGAATGAGATGACAGATATGATCTTGAATGAGATAACAGAGATGATTTTGAATTAGATGACAGAGATGATCATGAATGAGATGACAGAGATGTTGAATGAGATAACAGCGATGATCATGAATGAGATAACAGAGATGATCTTGAATGAGATGACAGAGATGATCGTGAATGAGATGACAGAGATGATCTTGAATGAGATGACAGAGATGATCATGAATGAGATGAAAGAGATGATCTAGAATGAGATAACAGAGATGATCATAAATGAGATAAAAGAGATGATCATGAAAGAGATAACAGAGATGATCTTGAATGAGATGACAGAGATGATCTTGAATTAGATAACAGAGATGATCTTGAATTTGATAGTAAAGATGATCTTGAATGAGATTACAGAGATATTTAATGAGATAACAGAGATGCTCATGAATGAGACAACTGAGATAATCTTGAATGAGATGACAGAGATGATCACTAATGATATAACAGATAAGATCTTGAATGAGATAACAGAGATGATCATGAATGAGATGACAGAGATATTTAATGAGATAACAGAGATGCTCATGAATGAGACAACTGAGATAATCTTGAATGAGATGACAGAGATGATCATGAATGAGATGACAGCGATGATCTTGAATGGGATGACAGAGATGGTCATGAATGATATGACAGAGATGATCTAGAATGAGATAACAGAGATGATCTTGAATGAGATAACAGAGATGATCATGAATGAGATAACAGAGATGATCTTGAATGAGGTAACAGAGATGATCTTGAATGAG